ATGTATATGTATGTGTATATATGTGTCTCTAGGGAGAAAAACATTCTGTTTCTTTTCTTCCCTTCACCTTTAACTTCTAACATTGACTTGATATATTAAACTTTGAGCTTTATTTCAGCTGCCTGTTGTCTATCCACCCTATGATTTTAAGCCTACTGTGCTAGGTTGAATGGTGGCCCCCAAAAAATAAGCCCTCATCTTAAACCCTGGAATCTGTGACTATTACTTTGTATGACAAATGATAATGATTAAATTAAGGATCTTGAGAGGAGGAGTTTATCCTGGATTATCCAAATGGGTCCTAAATGTACCCTTATAAAAGAAACACAGAGAGGAAGAGAGTGCAATCTGCCATGGAGGCAGATACTAGAGTGGTGCCACCACAAACCAAGAATACCAATGGCCATCAAAAACTGGAAAAGACAAAGGACAGATTCTCTGCCTAGAACTTCCAGAGGGAGTACAGCCCTGCCAACACCTTCATTTTGGACTTCTGATCTCCAAAACTGTAAAAGAATAAATCTGTGTTGTCTTACACCACCCAATTTGCAGTCATTTGTTATGGCAGCCAGAGGAACTGACACATCTACACATTTAAATTCACATGGCTTTTCTTTTTCAATGTCTCACTTGGTGAGTTTATCTTTTTATGTGTGTGATTTTTTTTTACCTAAGAAAATCTAGATGAATAGTCTCTTTTGAGTTCCAGACTCATATTTCCAAGCACAATGGTGTTCTCCTAGGACCTCAAGAGCAACATTTTCTTAAATGTTCCTCTCCATTCCCTACTTGCACAAACACATACAAACTCTCCAACTGTGTTCTACAACTTGGTTAATAGCAATCTCATCTTCTCAGCTGACCAAACTAAAAAAGTGAGAGTCATCTCCTACTTTTATTTTTCTCTTATTATTTATATTGTCAGTAATTATCTGGCTGCTTCTAATTTGCTAATTCCGTGTATATATTTCTTTCCATTCATGTCTATTGCATATTTTAAGTCTCCATTACTTGCTACCTTAATTATTATAAAGAATTCTTTACTAGCTTTCCTGCTTTCAGAATCTCTCCTGCTCTAATCCTTCAAGAACACATTACAAGTGTAACTTCTGCACAGTTATTGACATGTATCTCTCCATCCATAATACTTTTGGGTATTATGTTATCTGTCTTTCAAGTCACTCTTCAGTAAAACATTGCCAAATTTCTGGAGCTTATTCCCACTTGGAGAAGATTGCCCAGACAACACAATTTCAATACCATATATTTCTTTTTAAATTGTTGATTGAAGATAGGCATAGTGGTGCCTACTTGTAATCCCAGCTATTTGGAAGGCTGAGGTGAGAAGCACTTGAGCTCAGGAGTTCAAGTCCAACCCGGACAATATAGCAAGACCTGATCTCTTAAATATATATATATTTAAGAGATACACACATACATATACATATATATATAATTGATTGAACATATACTATATTCCAGTTCCTAAACTAAAGATGTGTGAGATAAGTAGACATGAGGCCAGAAAGTTTAATGCCTTCACTGACAGGCTGAGGGATGTAATGCCTTTTTTGTTGGTCAAAGAGAAGCCTCTGGGTATTTTTGAAGAAGAAAGTTAAAAGGTATAAAATGCACTTTAAAAGAGTCACCTAATAATAGACACAGTGCAATGGTATACCATGAAATCCTCTGAAATTGGGTTTGAGCCACTGCTTACTATCCACCTGACTTAAATTTTAGGTTTCGCATATGCAATATGATGATGATTATTGCACCTACACCATAGGGCTCACTTGATAATTAAATAAGATAATGCAATTAAAGTTTTTATTACAGGGCCTGAAAAATAGAAGAGATAAACAAATATTCTGGTGTGTTATTGAACTCAAAAATAATGCCTTAATTGTAGGATATGCCATTATTTACATGGCACCAAAAAAGAAAAAGAGACAAATAAATTACTATAGACCTTCAATTATAAGATATCTCGATCTAGGTAATGTTGAAATATTCTTAAATTGAGACAAGATTTCATTATATTTTACAGAAATAAGAGTGGTACAGTAGCTCAGCTCACTTGAAATAAAACACTGAGTGAACAGTACAGAAACTTATTCAGCACTTTGTCATAGTATCTGGAATGTAATATTGTCATAATATCTGGATTATATGAAAATTTGATGGTTGATCAAGAAGTTTATTATACTAAGCACAGTTAAGGAATCCAGTAAATGGTATCAACGAACTCTTTGTACCATTCTTGCATCTTGACTCTAACCTTGAAATTACGACCAAATCAACAACTTGACCAGTTTTTAATCTAACTTGCTATTGGTTTTCAAGATTAATCACACATAGAGAAGAGAAAACAATAAAAAAGAAAACTCTTAAATGTGATGATTCATAGTCTCTATTATAGCTACCTATTTCATTCATTAATGTTGAGCAAATACATGAAAGTTCAAAATGACTAAGAATGACCACAAGAGAGGAGACATTTGATGGTTCAAAGAATAAAATGATAAAGGAAGCCAAGGAAAGAGAACTAATTATAACCTAAATGCAAGTTCTTAAGGGAAAAAGAGATATACCAAACGATGAGGATAACTTACTTCACTGGAGGGATTTAAACAATCTTCTCGAGAAAGTGGAAGGCTGGGGCTGAAGGCCATGAGGTCGGTCTTGGGCGGGCCCTCCCCAGAGCACACCCTCTGCCGCCTCGGCCGCGAAGACGACCAGCTCCCCGCCGCGCTGGAGCACACCAGCGGGGGCTTGCCCGGCCCGCACGCGCCCTCGGGGGGCGGCGCCGAGCACCGCAGCGCCGTGTACAGCAGCAGCGTCAGCACCAGCAGGCTGGACACCGCGCAGATGGCCACGATCAGGTACACGTTGACGTCCACCAGCGCGGACCCGGGGCCCGCGGAGCCCGCCAGCGCCCGCGACGCGGCCTGGGGCGCCTGGCCGCCGTCCACCAGCGACACCAGCACGGTGGCCGTGGCCGTCA